CGGGGCGGGGCGGGGGCGGGCGGCGGGACCTACTTTCCTCTGGAAATGGCCGCGCCGGGGAGCACCGAACGCCCCGCGCCCCGAGGCCCGTCGGCGTAGGGCGGCCGCGGGGGTGAGCACCGGGCGGGGGGCGCGGGGGTGCAAACGGCCCCGCCGGGGGGCCCGCGCGGGCGGGACGGGCCCCGGCGGCCCCGGAAGGAGCGGCCCCGCGGTGGTGCGGGCTCGGGCCGCGCCGCCTCCGCCGTGCCGCCGCTCCCGGTAAGGCCTGACCGGGGCCGGGCCCAGAGCGCGGCTCGCACGCCTTTGTGTCCGGTACCGGTGGAGCCCGGGCGGCTGCAGCGCAGGTACGGCCGGGCCCGTCGCTCGGGGCCCGGTGCCGGTGCCAGCGTAGGCCGCGGTGGGCCGGGGATCGGGGCCTGGCCGGCTCGACCCCCCGGTTGCACCGGGGAGCGGGGAAAGCGTGGCCCGGGCGCACCGGCGAGGGTGTGGGGGGGGTGGTGTCGCCGCGTGGTGTTTCGGCCCAACCGGGGGCGCGGGCCCCGGCCCCGGAGCCTTTCCCGGGAGGGCCCGAATCCCCCCGGCCCCGGAGCCTTTCCGGGGAGGGCCCGAATACTCCCGGGCCCACCGGGAACCGGGGCCATGGAGGTGCTGGGTGGGACACGACGCTCCTACCCCGCGGCCGGGACCCCGCCGGGGGCTCCCTCCGCCCTCTCGGGTTTTTGGGGGGTTGGCGCTGCCCCAGCGCGTCTCCCCCTCCCCGGTGCCCTGCGCTCTGTCCCCCCGTGCCCGCGGGTCCCCCCCGGATCTCCCCGCTCACGCCGTGTGTGCCCCGTGCTCCGGTTTGGGGTCCCCTTCGCTGCCCCCGCGGTGCTGGAGCCCTCTGAGGTTTTTGGGGTGCGCTTGAGGCAGCGGTGGGAGGGGGCGGCTGCAGATCAGGGCATGGCTCCCCCCGGTTTGTGCGTGGTGTTTTGGGGTGAGTTTCCCCCCCGTACCTATCCCGGGACCCCCTGTGCGGTGCAGGATCGGTGCTGGGCCTGGGGAAATAGGGGCACAGGCAGGTGCTGGTGGTGGGAACCCCATTTTCTGCTGCATCCTAAATTCTCTGTGAATATTCCCCATGTGGGGGGCACTGGGGGGTCCCAGCTTTGCTGGCTGTGCTCCTGGGGGGATCCTGGTGACTCCCTGGGGTGCTGGTGTGTGGTAGAGCTGGGATCACTGATTCCCCTTCCCCCACGGTTTAATCGAGGTCACTCGGGGGTTTGGTTGCCCCGGATATGCTGTGGTGTCACTGGCTGGACTTGGGGAGAACCTGGTGGGTGATGGGGGAGGCCAGGGGGGTCTCCTGGACCCCTGTGGGGCAGGGAGCCACCCCCTGCTTCTGGGGGACATTCCCACTCCCAGAGCCTAGAAATTACCTTGGGGAGAGCGATGGGAAGATGCTGCCCCGTCCTTTGGATAGAGGGAGGCTGCAGGGTGCTGGGGAAGGTGCCACCACCCCTGGTGCTGATGGGTGTCCCCCCTGCAGCTGTGGCCCCCCAGGAACGCCGGAGGCAGGATGGACGAACAGAAGGTGCCCAGCGAGGAGAAGGACGCAGCCGCGCCAGGTGAGCCAGGGCAGCACTTTGGGGACCTGGCCCTGTTCCCCCTGTGGTGGTGACACCCCCTGTCCCCACAGCCGATGGCGTCATGGCCTCGGAGGAGATGGGCAGTGCCGAGGGGGACCCCCTGAAACCCCCCGAAGGAGCCTCTGCGGGGCCAGAGCCGGACATCGCGGGCATGGAGGAACCTCCCGAGGCTGGCAGGTGAGGGTGGGAGGACTTGGGGGTGGCATGGAGTCCTCATCGAAGGGGTCCTCAATGTCCCTGACACCCCCCGTTGTCCTCTCCCAGCCCGCTGGGCCGCCGCTGTGCCCTCTGCAACTGTGGGGACTGGAGCCTACACGGGCAGCGGGAGCTGCAGCGCTTTGAGCCGGTGCCCGACTGGCCCGAGCGGCTGGCGGGCCACGAGCCCCCTGATGGGCCCGGCCAGCCTCCCCCAGGGCCCAGCCAGCTCCCCCCAGAGCCAGAGCTGGCGGGTGACGGCCTGGCACAAATCGGCTTCTCCGAGGGGGTGACCCCAGCGCAGCTCTTCGAGCCGACGGGTGAGTGTGATCACAGCACGGGGGTTCCCATCCTGCCACCTGCGTGTCCCCAAGCTGTCCCTGACTCCCCCTCCCCACAGGGCACTGCTGGGTGCACCACTGGTGTGCGGCCTGGGCGGCTGGTGCGGGGCCGGAGGTGGCCGGCGTGGCCAGAGCTGTTTTCTCAGGGATCTCACAGGTGAGCAGATCCCAGAGGGGTCCGGGGGCGATGGTTTGCTGCGGAATTGCTGCCCTGCAGCAGCGCTGACCCCCTGGACTCCTGTGCCCTCAGAAATGTGAACGCTGCGGGCGGACGGGGGCCAGCATCCCGTGCCGGGCGGCCGCCGGCTGCTCCCGCCTCTACCACTTCCCCTGCGCCGCCGCCAGCGGCTGCTTCCAGTCCATGAAGACCCTGCGGCTGCTCTGCCCCGAGCACGTGGCTGAGGCCGTGGACATGGGTACGTGGGGCTGGGGACACCACCCCTGGCCGCTGGGACCCTCGTGGGGGTCGTGGCAGGGTAGAACCCCACGAGCAGGCAGCTCTGACCCCCTTTTCTTGTGGCTGACAGAGGACGCGCGGTGCTCGGTGTGCAACGGGCCGGGCGACCTGCGGGACCTGGTGTTCTGCACCAGCTGCGGGCAGCACTTCCACGGGGCCTGCCTGGACATCTCGCTGACGCCTCGCAAGCGCTCGGGCTGGCAGTGTCCCCAGTGCAAAGTGTGCCAAACCTGCAGGTGAGCCCCCAGACCCGCGGTGGGGAGGGGGGTATGCACCCAAGGAGGGGTCCCAGCCCTCACTTGCCCCTGCGCCCTACAGGCAGCCCAGCCAGGACTCTGCCATGCTGGTGTGTGAGGCATGTGACAAGGGCTACCACACCTCCTGCACGGAGCCAGCCACCCAGGGCCTTCCCACCGGCTCCTGGAAATGCAAGGTATGCCCTGCTCTCGCTCGGGGGTACAGGGTGCCTGCTCCCCACTGCACCTCCTGACACATCTCTGCTTTTCCCCAGAACTGCTGGGTCTGCTCAGACTGTGGCCAGCACCCCGCAGGGCCCGACTCCAGCTGCCAGTGGTCCTCGGGGTCTGAGGTGTGCAGGGACTGCCAGCAGCGCCGTGCCACGGCCGACGTTCCCACGGCGCCAGAACCCTCACCACAGCCTGACCCGCCTGCCCAGATGTGAGTGGGGATGGGGGTGCTGGTTTGGAGGGGGCTCAGGCCCTCTGTGGGTGGGGGATGGGGTGGCCTGAGCGCTGCCCCCTCACCCAGGTTCCCCCACCCCAGGTCAGAGTCCCCTGTCCCCAGCAAGCCGACGGATGCGCCCGTGCCCCCACCTGAGCTGGAGCCTGTGGGGTGTGATGAGGAGACGCAGCCCCTCGTGGACCCCAACGAGACACCCCCAGACCCCAAAGAGGCACCCCCAGACCCCAAGGAGGCTCCCCCGGGCAATGCTGAGTCTCCTCCTGGCGAGCTGGCCTCTGTGGAGGTGCCCCCCAGTGAGGAACCCCCTGAAGAGCTTCCCTCTGATGAGCTGCCCGTTGATCAGCCACCCCCCGACACGCAGCCCTCTGACACTCAGCCTCCTGAAGTGAAGCCCCCTGAGGAGCCCCTTCCTCTCATGCTGCCCCCCGAGGAGCCTCCCTCTGAGGAGCTGCCCCTTGAGACACCATCCCTTGCTGAGCTGCCCCCTGACAGACCCTCCCTTGAGGAGTTGCCCCCCAGTGAACTACCCCACGATGAGCTGCCCCTCGATGTCCCTCCCCTTCCTGAGCTTCCCCCTGAGAAACCAGCGTTTGAGAAGTCACCCCCCCGTGAGCTGTCCCCCGAAGTACTGCCCATTGACAAATCACCCCCTGACGAGCTGCCCCCCAAAGGGTCACCCCCCGAACCTCCCCTCGATAAGCCACCCCTCGAGGAGCCACCCCTCAGTGAGCCACCCCTCGAGGAGCTGCCCCTCAGCGAGCCGCCCCTCGAGGAGCTGCCCCTTGAGGAGCTGCCCCCCAGTGAACCGCCCCCCATCGAGCTGCTCCCCAAGGAACCTCCTCCCGAAGCGCTGCCCCCCGAGAAGCTGAGCCCTGAAGAGCCCCCCCTTGTTGAGTTGCCCCCTGAAGAGCTGGTCCCCAGCGAGCTGCCCCCCGAGGAGGACCTGAAACCACCAGGTAATCTGGGGACTTTTCATTGTCTTCTTCCCCTCCTGTCTCCACTGGGTGTGGGGGGGTCCTGCACCAGGGGCTTCTCCCAGCACTGGCTTTGCCTGATTCCTGTATTCCTTCTCTTTTCATATTTTGGTGCCCTGTTTGGGGTCTGTGGGGAGCTGTTGTGCCTCTCAATCCCAGGCTGGGTGGCACAGGGGGGATGGAGGGGACCCCCACACTCCCTCACCCCAATCCTGTCCCCCAGGTCTCCTCCCCGAGGTGACAGTGGCAGAAGAGGCGCCAGCCCTGGCTCCAGAGGTGCTCCCCGAGGAGGAGATGGAGCTGGAGCCAGAGCCCTCGCTGCCCCCTGAGATGACACCCCCACCCTCAGCTCCCCCAGGTGGGTCTGGGGAAACATCAGGCTTGGGACTAGGGGGGGTGGGTGTCTCTGGGGGGCTGTGATATCACTCTTCCCCCCTCTCTACCCCCAGCTCTCCGTGCCATCTCACCTGCACGGACCCCAGCCCCCTCCCCTGATGCCAAGGAGGACGATGTGCTCGAGCCCCCCACCCCAGCCCTGCCTGAGCCCCCTGGCAGCCCTGGTATCGCCATGGACACCGACCCTCCTGGCTCCCCGCCGCCCCCCCTGGGCTCTCCTGCTGTCACCCTGGCCCCCGCCGAGCCACCTGAGGATGAGGAGATGGAGATGGCCGGTGGCGAGGGGGAGTCCCCAGCCAGCCCCCCTGGAGATGCCCCCCACGGCAGCCCAGCCCCTGAGCTGGGGCCCTTCCCAGGCCTGCCTGAGGAGGAGGAAGAGGAGGAAGAAGAGGCACCGAGGCTGGAGAGGGAGGGCACCAGTGGAAGCTCCCCGCCACTCAGCGAGGAGGATGCCCTGGAAGAAAGCCGGGCTGGGGGGGACCCTGAAGTCAAGGGGTCCCCTTCGGGATCCCCCCTGCTCCTGGAACCAGAGGAGCTGGGCCCTGAGACCCCCATGGAGGTGTGCACTACCGGCGAGAAGCTTCTGGGGCACGGCGACGAGGGGTGCCCCGAGCCACCCGCGCTGCGCCCACGGCCCGACATCCTCAACGAGATCTCCAACCTGAGCCAGGGGGACACGAGCAGCAGCTTCCCCGGCTCGGAGCCACTGCTGGGGTCCCCAGACCCTGAGGGCGGCGGGTCTCTGTCCCCTGAGCTGGGCCCAGCCTCAGCTGACGCCAGCCTGCAGAAGGAGGACGCTGGGTCGCTGCCGCTGGGTGCTGAGACCGATGACTCGCTGCTCTTCGAGCCAGCAGCCAAGGGTGACGGGGACAAGAGCCGGCGCCGCAGCTCCCCGGGGCGCTCCCGTGTCAAGCAGGTATAGGGGGACCCCGTCACCACAATTTTGGGGGTACCCTGCTGGGGCCACATTCCCCTCCCTGAGCTGCCCCTGCAGCAAGTAGGCGAGGGCCGAACGTGTGGTGGGGTGGGATGGGATGGGGGCAGTGCCCCTGTGCTGCCCTGGCATGGGGGTCTCACTGGGCTTCCCAGTGCTGTAACTCCCCTCTCCCCTTGGCCACAGGGTCGCAGCAGCAGCTTCCCTGGGCGGAGACGCCCCCGAGGGGGGTCCCACGGGGGCCGAGGCCGAGGCCGTGCGCGCCTGAAGTCGACCACCTCGTCTGTTGACACCTTAGCAGTAAGGCTGGGCTGGGGCAGAGGTGGGGTCCAGGGAATCCTTGAGCTGTTAGGCTGAGAACTGAGTCTCCCCTGTCCCTTCCCCTATCATCTCTCCCTTGGGAAGATTAAGAGCCCTAAGTGTGGGGTGGGTTGGGGTCTTATGGGGTCTCATGCCTGCGCCTTTGCTGAGTCTGGGGGCTTCACCACAGAAAATAGGACAAGTACAGAGCTTCCCCCTGGGGAGGGGTTCTGCTGCCCCTGCATCTTCCTGGTGCACCCCAGACTGCACAGAGAGGGTGTCCTCAGTGCTGAGCCTCCCGCTCTGTCCTCAGCTCGCTGACGTGGAGAGCTCGCCCAGCAAGGAGGAGGACGAGGACGACGATGACACAATGCAGAACACAGTCGTCCTCTTCTCCAACACAGACAAGTTTGTGCTCATGCAGGTAACCAGGGCATGGCAGGATGGACAGATGGACAGGGTGGGACAGACTCTGTCTCTCCTCTGCCAGCCCCTGTCTCGTCACTCACGACCTCTCTCCCCCAGGACATGTGCGTGGTGTGTGGCAGCTTCGGGCGTGGGGCTGAGGGGCACCTGCTCGCCTGCTCCCAGTGCTCCCAGTGCTACCACCCCTACTGCGTCAACAGCAAGGTAAGGAGGGGGCCCAGGACCCCCAGCTCCACCCCAGAACTGTGCTGTGCCCCCCAAGGACACACAAGGTGGTGCTTGGCACACCTTGTGTGTTGAGTTGTGCTCTGGCATGTCTGTGCCAAGCCCCGGGGTGTCCCCCACAGCCACAGCGAGCCTGGGGACCGCCGTGGCCATGCCCAGGGCTCACATGGCTGCCATCCCGTGTCCCCAGATCACCAAGGTGATGCTGCTGAAGGGCTGGCGCTGCGTGGAGTGCATCGTGTGCGAGGTGTGCGGCAAAGCCTCCGACCCCTCGCGCCTGCTGCTCTGCGACGACTGCGACATCAGCTACCACACCTACTGCCTGGACCCGCCGCTGCAGACCGTGCCCAAGGGTGGCTGGAAGTGCAAGTGGTGCGTGGGGGACACAAGGGGGGAGCCACGGGGCTCAAATTTGGGCTCTACAGTGCTGGTGCTGACCCCTCGGGCCACTCTCTGCAGGTGTGTGTGCTGTGTGCAGTGTGGGGCTGCATCCCCTGGCTTCCACTGCGAGTGGCAGAACAACTACACCCACTGTGCACCCTGCGCCAGCCTCGTCGTCTGCCCCTTCTGCCGCGAGAAATACGTGGAGGACGACCTGCTCATCCAGTGCCGGCACTGCGATCGGTGAGCACCGTGCCCCAGGCTCCAGGGGCTGAAATTTGGGGTCCTCCCGGGGAGGCTGTGGTGTGTGATGGGTCCCCCACGCTGCCCGCAGGTGGCTGCACGCTGCGTGTGACAGCCTCTTCACTGAGGAGGAGGTGGAGCAGGCTGCGGATGAAGGTTTCGACTGCAGCGCCTGCCAGCCCTACGTGGTCAAACCTGGTGAGCTCACGGGGCAGGGGGAACTCAGGGGGACCTGGGGGGCATTTGAGGGGTGTGGGGACTCACCTGCTCCTCTGCTTTCCTGCCACAGTGCCTGCGCCTTCTGCAGAGATGATCAAAGCCAAGGATCCAGGTACGTGTTGTGCCCTGCTGGGGTTCCCAGGGCTGTGCCCTCTTCTGGCCACGCACCCAGTGCTGGCATTTGTCCCCAACGCTGGTGTCTGTCCCCTCAGAGCCCCAGTATTTCCGCTTCGAGGGCGTGTGGCTGACAGAGACGGGGATGGCCGTGCTGCGCAACCTGACCCTGTCCCCCCTGCACAAGCGGCGGCAGCGCAAGGGCCGCCCGGGCACCCTCAACGGGGATGGGGGGCTGGAGGGGGGTGACCCCCTGGGCCCTGAGGACAAGAAGGACGGTGACCTGGACACCGATGAGCTGCTCAAAGCTGACGGTGGGTGTTGCTGCTGGGAGAGCTGGGGTGGTTGCGGTGTGGGGGTGTCAGGGGTTCCCACTAACGTGCACCCCCCAGCAGTGGGTGTGGAGCACATGGAGTGTGAGATCAAGCTGGAGGCTCCGGCCAGCCCCGACCGCGACGTTGGAGCTGACGGGGACTCGGGGAAGGGGCTGGAGGACCCTGAGGAGTGCAAGAAGAGGAAGCGCAAACCATACCGGCCTGGTGAGTGTCGTGCGGGCCCTGAACCCTCCCGGGCTCTTCTGTGACCCCGCTGTGATCCTCGCTCCTTCTCTGTCCTCCAGGCATCGGTGGATTCATGGTGCGGCAGCGCAAGTCCCACACGCGGCTCAAGAAGGTCTCGGCGGTGCTGCCGGACGTGGGGCGCGAGGGGCTGAGCACCGAGGGACACCCTGAGGATGGTAGGGCCCGGTGGCACCTTTTCCTCCCTCCCTCCCTCCATTTCCCATTCCCTCCTCACCCCCAGGGATGTGCAGGGGCCCTCAGGCTGCACCTCACAACTCTTGTTCCAGTGGCACAGGAACAGCCCCAGACCCTTTTTGGGGGTGGGTGTTCATTGCTGGGGGGCTGTTGCAGGGGCTCCTGGTGACGTCCCAGCCGAGGCTGGCCTGGATCCAGGCTCAGGAGAGGGGGACGAGAAGAAGAAGCGCCGGGGACGCAAGAAGAGCAAGTTGGAGGACATGTTCCCCCCATACCTGCAGGTGGGATGGATGGGGGGCTGGAGGTGGATGAGGGGATGGATGGGGAGGACACCCCGATGCTGACAGAGCCCTCCCATTCCAGGAGGCGTTTTTTGGGAAGGCACTGATGGACCTGAGCCGGAAGGCGCTGCTGGCAGCAGGCGGGGTTGGGGATGGGACCGCCCGCCCCGCCTTGGGCCAGGGTGCCCCAAGGCCCAAGGGGGACCCCAACCTCGCTGGGGCACTGCAGGGGGTCACCCCGGACAGGAGGGAGACCCCCACCCACCCCCGAGGTGAGTGTGGCCAGGAGTGGGTCTGCAGCCCAGGAGGGGGGTTATGGGGATTAGTGAGGGGTCGGTGTGGGTTCCTGCTGTGGTTGGAGGTCCCCGGGGGATCCCTGGGTTTGTTGGGGCTTGTTGGGAGCTGTCCCTGGGGTTGTTGGAAGTTGTTGGGGTCCCCGGGATGGGTGAGGGGGTTGTTCATGGTCCCTGGGGTTGTTGGGGGTCTTGAGGGGATATTGGAGGTCGCTGGGGTTGTGGGGGGACCCCCGTTGTGAGCAGTGCTGTGGGCTCTGAGGCTCGTTGGAAAAGGCCGAGGGCTGAGGGAGAACGCTGGGGCTCGGTGGGTCCTGGCCCTGCTCACTCAATCCTGGGCTACCCTGCAGGGGACGACAGCACTGACGGCAGCGCCGCCGCTCCCGATGACGATGGCAAGGACGAGGCGAAGGCCGAGGAGCTGGGTGAGGCCCGGGAACCCCTGTGGGACCCCCAGAGCCGAGTCCTCCACCGGGCATAGAGCGCCCACAGCCATCGGGACCAAACTCTATGGTTGAGGGGTCCGCTCTGGGCAGGGCTGAGCTCTATGGTTCTCCGTCAGGCCCATGATGCCGGTGACCATAGAGTAGCGCCTAGAGCGCCCCCGCGTGGCGCGGCGCCGCTGGAGGACCGAGGGACTCATGTCCCTTCGTGTCCCTTTTTGGGTGGTCCCGTGGGGGTCCGCAGCCCTGAGCCGGGGGTCCCCAGGGGGCTGAGGGCACTTCCTGATTCTTCCTCACAGGGGCCGACGAGCCGAAGGATTCCCCAGACCGTGGGGACGCCGAAAAACCAGCCACCCCGGGCGAGGGAGCGCTAAGCTCTGACCTCGACAAGATCCCCACGGAAGGTGAGACCATCCTGCGTCCCCTCTTGTGCTGAAGGCGTGGGTGGTCCCAGGACCGTGACCCCCAGGTTTTTCCCCTTCCTATCAGTGTGGTATTTGCACCCAGCTCCTGCATTTGCCTCTGCAGAGCTGCCCAAAATGGAGAGCAAAGACGTGCAGCAGCTCTTCAAGGACGTGCTGGGCTCGGCAGAGCGTGGGGAGCAGCCCCTCAACTGCGTGGCTGCGGGGATGGAGGCCGGGCAGGACCCCAGCCGAGCACAGCGGTCGTTCCTGCAAGGAGACCTCCAGCTCTCGGGGCAGGGTGGGTGGAATTGGCAGAGCCCCCGTCATCCAGGAGGTCCCTGGAGAGTGTGGTGAAGGGCAGGGCTTGTTTCCAGCCTCAGGAAAGCCAAACTCACTCACTCAATGGTGCCTGTGATATCTGAGAGCCCAGGCTCCTGGGTGTTCCCTGTTGCTCTGGGGGTGAACATGGAAAGCATTTTGGGGGTTGTGCTGTCTGGGGGTTGTTTGGACCCCCAGGCAGGTGCAGGTTTGTGCCCTTACTTTGTTTTCCCTTCAACCCATCTCGTTTCCCTCACAGGGAGCGTTTCCCTGGGCTCACTCTCTGGATCTGTCTCCTTGGACTCGTACTCGGGGGTCTGCCAGTCCCCATTCCTCGATAACAGGTACTCAGAGGAGCTGGGGGTCCCCTCCTTGGAGGAACTGAACTGCAGGGTGTCCTGGGACCCCACTCTTCCTTACAACCTGACGATCTGTGACGCTCCTCTCCACTCAGGGAGCGGAGTGGCTTCTTCAGCCCCGACCACTGCGAGCCTGAGAGCCCCTGGGCCAGCAGCTCAGCTGCCACCACCCCCTCGACCCCCACGACCCCCACGACAGAGGGCGAGGGTGATGGGCTGTCCTACAACCAGCGCAGTTTGCAGCGCTGGGAGAAGGACGAGGAGCTGGGTGAGCTCTCCACCATCTCCCCTGTCCTCTACGCCAACATGAACTTCCCCAACCTCAAGCAGGATTATCCAGGTAGGGCTCTGGGGGGGCTGCAGCCACCCCGTTGGGGTGAGGGTTGGGGGTATGGGTGGAGTGTCACTCCCCTGGTCCCTTTTTTGAGGGGAGAGCTGGGTTGTTCTGCCACTGAATTGTTCTCTGTAGTGGGCAGGGGTCTCAGCTCTGTCTCCTGGGCTGTCACTTCTCATGAGGGTGGGACAGTGACCCCACCAAGGATGCTCGTGGGCTCCTCAGGTCCAGGCTAATGTTGCTTTCCTCCCCTGTATCTGCTCGTACTGGACTCCCAGACTGGTCGAGCCGCTGCAAACAGATCATGAAGCTCTGGAGGAAAGTCCCTGCCACGGACAAAGCCCCATATTTGGTGAGTGCCAGGAGGTCAGTGGGGTGGGGGGCCGGGGCACCGGGGGGCTGCAAATCAGCTGGCTTCATGTCTTTGTTAGCAAAAGGCCAAAGATAACCGGGCGGCTCATCGCATCAACAAGGTGCAGAAGGTACGTGGGGCGCGGGGAGGTGCCCGGCGGCCCCGGCCCAGCCCTGGGGGAACATTGCTGTGCCCACCCCCAGCCCGTGCCCAACCCGTGGGGAGGGCGGGAGGGCTCCCACAGCGCTGACAGCCCGGCTCTCTCTGCAGCAGGCCGAGAGCCAGATCAACAAGCAGACCAAAGGGGAGGGACTGCGCAAGCCGGAGAGGCCCTCGCTGCACCTGCGGATCCCGGTGCCGCCAGGGGCACAGCCCGTCTACATCAGCAGCCCCCCCGCCACCGGCGAGGGCTTCCTGAAGCCCCCGGCGGGTGCCGGAGGGGGACCGGAGTCTCCCAGCGAGCTCTTCCTCAAGCTCCCTCCCCAGTCCCCTGCCCAAGTGCCTTCGCACGATCCCTACGGCGCGGCCCCCGCCTACACGCTGGAGCCCCGCTTCCCCTCGCCCCTGGGCCAGAGCCCCACGTCGGGGGCTGCTTTCCAGCCTTTTCCTAGCCAGCCCCAGCCCCTCACAGCCCCCCGTGCTCCCCCTGACTTCCACCCCACCCCGCCTGGCACACCCCGGCACCAACCTGGCACCCCTGATCCCTTCCTGAAGCCCCGGTGCCCTTCCTTGGACAACCTCTCGGTGCCGGGGAGTCCTGGAGCGCGGCCACCCGAGGCCCTGCTCTCTCCCCTGCCTTTCGGGGAGCAGAAGAAGGGTCTGGAGGTGAAGAAGGAGGATGGGGGAAGCCTGGGGGTCTGCTCACCTGGCTACGCTTCTGCCATGGGCTACGGGGACTCCCCAGGCGGCCCCCACCTCTCGGCTGCGGAGCTGAAGGCGGCCGACGTCTTCAAAGCCCCCATGACCCCACGGGTCTCTCAGGTAGAGCCGCAGAGCCCGGGGCTGGGGCACCGGCCCCCCGACCCCCATCCCCTGGCCCCCCCGCCCCCCGGCCACCCTGATTTGTACCGTCAGTCGCCCTATCTGGACCCCTACTCGCAGCCCCCGCTGACGCCCCGGCTGCAGCCCCCCGAGGCCTGCTGCGCCCTCCCGCCTCGCTCCCTGCCCTCTGAACCCTTCTCCCGCATCCCTGCCAGCCCCCAGTCCCAGTCCAGCTCCCAGTCCCCCCTAACCCCCCGCCCTCTCTCCAACGAAGCCTTCTGCCAGTCCCCAGTCACCCCTCGCTTCCAATCCCCTGATCCCTACTCCCAGCCGCCCTCCCGGCCTCAGTCCCGGGATCCTTTCACCCCACTGCACAAACCCCCCCGTCCTCAGATGCCGGAGCCGGGGTTCAAATCAGTGGGGGCGGCCGGTGGAGGTTTTGGGGGCACCCCAGCAGGTGACCCCCACGCCAAGGCAGCGGCCGGGCCACAGCCGCCCTTCGCCCGCTCGCCTGGTGCCAGCGTTTTCCCGGGGAGCCAGCCCCCCATGCGCTTCACCTTCCCCCCGGCCGTCTCGGAGCCTCTCAAGGGCTCCCCGTCCCACCAGCCCCATGGGATCAACAGCCATTACAGCTCTGGGAAACCCCAGAGCTCGGCCTACGCCTCGTCCCCCAGCTTCCACCAGGCCAGCAGCCCGCTGGGCCCTGGCACTGCCGCCCCCGACTCCTACAGCCTCTCGCCCCTGCGGCCCCCATCAGTGCTGCCGCCGCAGCCCCCGGCTCCCCCGCAGCAGCAGGACCCTTCTGGAACCTTCCTGCCCCGCGCTGCGCTGGGACTGACGGCCGACAAGAGGGAGGAGGTGGCTGCAGGGCTCTCAGCACCCCCAAACCGGGACCTGGCGGAGCTGCCTGGTGCCCAGGACGGGGCTCTGGGCACCATGAGCCAGTCGGAGCTGGAGAAGCAGCGGCAGGTGAGGTCTCTCCTGGGATCCAGTCGCATCCATTTGGGTTTGGGAGAGAATGAAAAGGGAAAAACTGGGGCTGTGGAGGCATCAATGGCCACTCCATGTGTGGTTCGTTTTGCTGGTTTTGGTCCTGTTGCCACTCTGGGCTCTAACACTGATTTCTTCTCAGCGCCAGCGGCTCCGGGAGCTGCTCATCCGCCAGCAGATTCAGAGGAACAGCCTTCGGCAGGAGAAGGAGAGCGCAGCTGCTGCTGCCTCCTCCTCACCGGCCGGCTGGGCACCTGAGGCCGGCGGGCAGAGCTTCGAGCTGAGCCGGGGCATGGCCCCATACCAGCCAGCACAGGTGGGAGAGCTGGGGCACGGTGTGCACGGGGGGGATGCAGCTGATGGAGGGGCATGGTGGGCACAGGGGGGAATGGCTGATGGAGGGGCACGGTGGGCACAGGGGAGGGGGGATGTGGCTGATGGAGGGGCATGGGGGGGGATGTGGTTGATGGAGGGGCACAGGGGGGATGTGACTGGTGGAAAGGCATGGTGAGTACAGGGGGGATGCAGCTGATGGGTGGCTGATGGAGGGGCATGGTGGGCACAGGGGAGGGGGGATGTGGCTGATGGAGGGGCATGGGGTGGATGCAGCTGATAGAGGGGCATGGCAGTGGGATGTGGCTGATGGATGAGTGACTCTTTTTTCCTTCCTTCATTCCAGGACAAGGCTCTCCTCGGGACTCTGGCCACGGCAGCTGGTGCTGGGAAGCTGCCCAGCTCTGTCATGGTGCAGGCAGCGTTCACGCAGGACGAGCGGCTCTCCCGGCCCCCTCCGGCGGCCACGCCAGCCATGCTGGACATCAGCGGGCGGTGGGTGCCCCCTGGCAGGGCGATGGGCTCAGCATGCACGGGTGGGAGCCAGCAGACATCACACACATACCCCCAGCTTCTGGGGATCACTCTGGAGGGAGGGCGTGGCTGTGGGTTTTTGGGTACTTGGCACAGTCTGAGAGGGATGGGGCATAGTGTGTCGGGGCTGTACCAAGCTGGTGCCAACACCACGGTGTTTTGCAGGGCGACAGTGGGGCCCCCCCAGGCCTTCTACCCCCGTGGGGTCTTCCCGTCGCCATCCCCGCAGCAGCAGCAGCACCTGTGGCAGCAGCAGCAGCAGCAGCAAGCGGCCGTGGCAGCCCTGCGGCTCCCTGTCACCTCCCGCTTCGCCCCTCCGGCCACTGGGACCCCCATGGGCAGCCTGGGCACCCGCCTGCCCACCCCTGCCGAGGCCGTGCCCCCCTCACCAGCTGCCCTGGGTGCTCCTTTCATCGAGCTACGACACAACGTGCAGAAGGGACCTGGGGGTGTCGTGGGATCTCCCTTTGCCCCCCAGGCACCCCGGCCTCGATTCTTCCTGCCCGGGGAGGAAGGCACCCCCCAGGCTCTGTGCACCCCCGTCATGCCCCTGCAGGCGCTGCCATCCCAGAAGGTTCCAGCACCGCTGCCACCTGCGTCCCCCCAGGGAGCTGAGATGGGCAACAGCCACCAGCAGCCCCACGCCAAGGCGGCGCCCCCGCTGCCAGCCCCCACCCTGGAGCTGCAGCAGCACATCCCCCCGCGCCCGCTGTCCTCCGGTGCCACCCTCCGCCCCGAGGGTCCCAAGGATGGCCCCGCTGCAGACCCTGCGCCGGCCCCAGGGAAGAGCCACCTGAGCCTGGAGGGGGGGCGGCTGCCCTGCGAGGTGCCCGTGGAGCCTGATTTGGATGACGACTTTGGCTCCCACAAGGACTTGGAAGATGATGATGATTTGGCCAACCTTAGCCTGGATCCAGATGTGGCCAAAGGGGACGATGACTTGGACAACTTGGACAGCCTGGAGACAGCAGACCCCCACCTCGATGACCTGCTGAATGGTGATGAGTTTGACCTGCTGGCCTACACTGACCCCGAGCTGGACACTGGTGACAAGAAGGACATCTTCAACGAGCACCTGCGCCTGGTGGAGTCAGCCAACGAGAAGGCTGAGCGTGAGGCCCAGCTCAAGACAGAACCACCAGCGCCCACCTTGAAGCTCCCCGACCCTGGGGACAGCAAAGATGTGACCCCATCTGCGGAGGATCAGGAGGTGCCCAAGGAAGGACTGGTGTCTGGGATGGGCTTGGGACTCTCTGCCTGCCCCACGGGCACTGTGCTGGCCCCTGACCCAGCTTTCAAGGCGCAGGGTGCAGAGGTGAAGGCTGGCTCATTGCCCACTGATGTCAAGCCCAAGCTGGAGGATGGCTGCCTGAAGACCTCACCCTGCCAGTTCACCACCGCTGGCCCCGAGCGCCTCCCGATGCCAGTCAAGTCAGAAGCACTGCAGGGCACAGATAAAATCTCTGCCTCCCTGGGGCTCAGTGTCAAACCTGGCCAGACCCTCCTGAGCTCCAGCGCTGGCCCCACTCGCCTCAGCCTGACTCAGTTCTCCAACAGTGGCCACACTGGTGTCCCCGTGCTGGAGAAGGACCCCTACACTGCCCCTGGCCGTGGGCTGGCATCTGCCCAGCTGGGTGGCCAGAGCAACCCCTTGCTGGAGAAGTTTGAGCTGGACAGTGGAGCCTTGGGGCTGGGCAGTGCCCGGCACTCGCCAGCGGATGACCTGGACAAGATGGAGAGCTCGTTGGTGGCCAGCGAGCTGCCCCTGCTCATCGAGGACCTCCTGGAGCACGAGAAGAAGGAGCTGCAGAAGAAGCAGCAGATGTCAGCCCACCTGCCCCGTGGCACCCCCCATCTCCAAGCCCCAGGGCACCCCATGCTGCACACAGGGGCATCTGGGCAGCCTCCCGAGGGGCAGCCACCCCGTCTGGGCACCCCTCAGACACCCCTCCAGCTGGGGCTGGTGGCCCGGCCACCGCTGCTGCCACCGCAGCCCCCCCAGCTCAACGCACCCCAGCAGCGCCCGGCTCTGGCCCCCCACATGGGCATGGGCTCTGGGCAGCCCCATGTGCTGTCATCGCCCCACGGGGTGCAGGTGGCCCTGGGGCAGCCACAGCAGAGCCAGCAGCAGGTGCTGGTGCAGAAGCCGATGGCCGGGGTGCAGCCCCCCAACCTGGGCCTGAAGCCCCCCCAGCTCGTCATGCAGCAGCAGTTGGCCAACAGCTTCTTCCCAGACACAGGTAGGGGCTGCAGGTGATTTTTTGGGGGGAGCACGGGGCCCTTTTGGGTAGGGGGCATTTGGCTGAACATGCTGTGGTCTCTGTCCCAGCAGACCTGGACAAGTTTGCGGCCGAGGACATCATGGACCCCATTGCCAAGGCCAAGATGGTGGCACTGAAGGGCATCAAGAAGGTGATGGCTCAGGGCAGCATCGGGGTGGCCCCAGGCATGAACAGGTAACAGACATGGGGATCTGGGGGGCACAGGGTGGGGCAGGCAGGTTGCTTTGGCTCTGGCTCACAGTCCATCTCTTGTGTGTGTCCCCCAAAGGCAACAGGTTTCCCTGCTGGCCCAGCGGCTCTCCGGGGGCCCGGCTGTCTCCGAGATGCAGAACCACTTACTGGCAGGGAGCGGGCAGGTGAGTGGGGTGTCCAGAGGGTTTACAGGGGTCTCTTGTGGCTGGCAGGCCGGAACTGCTGCTTTTTTGGCTCTCTGAGGGGGTGGAGTCTGTGGAAAGAGGACAGAAATCCATAGCATGTCCCAAACGTTCCTCTTTCTTCCAGGAGCGGAGTGGCACAGACCCGACCCAGGCTCGCCCCAACCCACCCACCTTTGCACAGGGCGTCATCAGTGAGTACTGACTGGCATGGTGTGGCACAGGGCTCACCCTGGCCCTGGGGCTGGGGTCTCCACTGACCCAGGGTCTCTGTTTACCCGGGGTTCTCACTGACCTGGGGTCTCCACTGACTCGGGGTCTCCACTTACCGGGGCCCCCACTGATCTGAGCCCCCTCCCCATCCCACAGACGAGGCTGACCAGCGGCAGTACGAGGAGTGGCTGTTCCACACGCAGCAGCTGCTGCAGATGCAGCTGAAGGTGCTGGAGGAGCAGATCGGGGCGCACCGCAAGTCCCGCAAGGCGCTGTGTGCCAAGCAGCGCACGGCCAAGAAAGCCGGCCGGGAGTTCCCCGAGGCCGACGCCGAGAAGCTGAAGCTGGTAACGGAGCAGCAGAGCAAGATCCAGAAGCAGCTGGACCAGGTAGGACCCTGCATGTGGGTGGGCACCTTGTCCCTGGTGCAAATGGGATGTTCCCAGTGTTAGTGCTTCACTGTTACCAGTGCCAGCCTCACTATTCCCAACTTTAGCGCTGTGCCATCCTCAAACATGATGTCCTCAGAGTCAGTGTGCCATTTCTGGCTCTACTGCTCTGCTGTCCCCAGCACTAATTCTATGCCAGTCCTGGTATTAATTCCCTGCTGTTCCTGGCGCTAACACTGCCATTCCTGGCACTGATGTCCCACTATTCCTGGGACTAATTCACTTGCCATTCCCAGCACTAATGCCCTGCTGTCCCCAGCATTTATCCTGTGCCATTCCTAGTGCTGTTGCCTTACTGTCCCCGACAGTAAAGCAGTGCCATTTCTGGTGGTGGTGGTGTGCCATTTCTAGCACTTTTATGCCATTCCTAATGCTAATACTCCCCTATCCTGGGCACTAAATCTGTGCCATTCCTGCTGCTGATGCCCCACCATCCCCAGTGCTAAGGCTGTGTTGTCTCCCTGTCTCTGGCACTAATGCCATGCCATTGCTGACACTAAAACCCTGCCATTCCTGGCACTCACACCCCGCCGTCCCCATCAGGTGCGGAAGCAGCAGAAGGAACACACCAACCTCATGGCTGAGTACCGCAACAAGCAGCAGCAGCACCAGCACCAGGCCTCAGCCGTGATGGCCCTGAGCCCCTCGCAGAGCCCCCGCCTCATGTCCAAGCTCCCGGGACAGCTCCTGTCAGCACACGGCGTGCAGCAGCCCGGGGGAGCCCTGGTGGGAGCGCAGGGCCTTGGGCAGCAGCCAGGGCAGCCTGGGGGGCTGCGCCTGCCCCAGGGCGGTGTGTCCATGGCTGTGCAGCAGGGCCTGTCCTTCATGGGGCAGCAGCCTGTAGGGAATGCCCCAGGACCCGGCTCCTCTGGCGCTTTCTTCAGCGGGAACCCGGCGCTGCGCGGGCTGGCCGCTGACAGCCGCCTGATGCAGGAGCGGCAGCTGCAGAGGATGCAGCTGGCACAGAAACTGCAGCAGCAGAACATGCTGGGACAGGTGTCACTGCAGCAGCAGCCAGGTGTGATGGGACAGACGTCAATGCAACAGCCAGGTGTGATGGGACAGGTGTCGCTGCAGCAGCCAGGTGTGATGGGACAGGCGGCCATGCAGCAGCAGGGCGTGATGGGACAAACATCAATGCAGCAGCCGGGTGTGATGGGACAGGCAGCCATGCAGCAATCAGGTGTGATGGGACAGACGTCACTGCAGCCATCAGGTGTCATGGCACAAGCATCGATGCAGCAGCAGGGCGTGATGGGTCAAACCTCCATGCAGCAGCCAGGTGTGATGGGACAGGCATCCATGCAGCAGCCAGGTGTGATGGGACAGGCGTCGCTGCAGCAGCCAGGTGTGATGGCACAGGCATCCATGCAGCAGCCAGGTGTGATGGGACAGACGTCGATGCAGCAACAGGGTGTGATGGGTCAGGCATCCATGCAACAGCCAGGTTTGATAGGACAGAGCTCGATGCAGCCACAGAGCATCATGGCACAGACATCCATGCAGCAATCAGGTGTGATGGGACAAACTTCAATGCAACAGGCAGGAGTGCTGGCCCAGACATCGCTGCAGCAGCCAGGCATGATGAGCCAGGCATCCATGCAGCAGCCAGGTGTGCTGGGCCAGGCCCCAGTGCAGCCAACAGCCGTGCCAGGGCAGCCCAGCCTGCTGGGGCAGCAGCAGCAGCAGCCCCCAGCCCCACAGCCCGGCGCAGGGGCTCAGCCCATGGTGCCGAAGCAGCCGGGGCTGTTGGGCAGCCAGCAGAGTCTCCTCGTGCAGCAGCTCTCACCCCAGCAGCAGCCGGGCGTGCTGGGCCACGGGCCAGGGCTGCAGCACCAGCCTGTGCTGGGCCACCCCCCAGCCCAGCGCCAGGTTGTCCTGGCCCCCCACCAGCAGCGGGTGCTGGGCTCGCCCCAGCTGACGCCGCAGACTCCGGGGATGCTGAGCCACCGGCTCGTGCTATCCCAGCAGCTGGGGCAGTCTCGGGCACTGTTGGCTCCACAGCAGCAGCAGCAGAACTCAGCGGCTGCCCAGCCAGGTCTCCTGGGGCTGGGCCAGGGGCAGCCCTCCATCCAGCACTTTCCGCAGCACGGGGCGGGGGGCCAGGCCCCCTCTGTGCTGCACCTGAGTCAGGGAATGCAGCCAGCCCCGGCGGTCCTGGCTGCCAAGGACCAGCCCGCGGGGATGGACGGCAGCGCCCTGCATGCCGAGGGTGGGGAGAGCGGGGGGCAGCTGCATGGGGAGCAGCAGGGAGCCCTCAACCCCTCGGGGCTGGGGGGCCCGGAGCCCCCAGCCCCCAAGCACCAGGCTGAGCTAGGGCAGGGCCAGCAGCTCCTCTTGACTTCCCCACAGCCGGGTGTCTTAAGGGCAGCTTCTGGGCAGCCGGGTGCCCTACTCGCCCCACCGCTGCAGAGCCCTGGGGCTGTCCACCCTGAGCTGTCCCAGCAGCACGGGGACACGGCCGGGGTGGCAGAGCAACCGCTGGGCTGTGGGACAGGCCCAGCACAGGCCATGGTGCCGGCACCGCGGCCCCCAGAGCAGCCAGGCAAGGGGGTGGCGGGGGCCCTGCCAGGGCAGCCACAGCCCCCACGGCTCCAGAGCCCCATTCAGCACAAAGTAGGGCCAGCATCGGGCACGGCCGCTCTCCCCCCAGGTCTCCTGGGGCAGGTGCCAGGGCCGGTGATGGGCCAGATCCGGGCGCAGCTCCAGGGTGTCCTGGCCAAGAACCCGCAGCTGCGGCATCTGACGCCGCAGCAGCAGCAGCAGCTCCAGGCCCTCCTGAGGCAGCGGCACCAGCAGAGCCTGCTGCAGCAGAACCAGGCACTACGGACCCCTGGCCCCTTCCCCGGGCAGGCCCCGGACTACGGCTTGACAGCTACCCGCCCGCCCCCTCGTCCCATGGGGCCCCTTTTCCAGCCCCGGGCAGATGCCCCAGCAGAGGCACAGACCAGCTCTGCCACCGAGCCGGGACGGGCACTGCCAGGGCAGCCTCCCCAGCAGCCCCTGGCTGAGCTGGTTCAGGCAGCTCTGGCTGCCCGTGGTCCCCAGCCCAGCCTCATCCACCTCCCCACGCCACCAGCCCCCTCGCCCCTGGGCGGTGCCCCCCAGCACCTGGCCAGCCCCGAGCAGAGCCCACAAGAGCCAAAGAAGACATCACCGGGAATCCCGGCCTTGGCCCCCAGCCCCGCAGCACCCACGGAGCCAGGGCTGGCTCCCACGCCAAGCGGGGCCCTCCCTGACCCAGCCCACCGCCCCTGGGACCCCGAGGCACCTGGGGTGGACCCAGCTGACCCTGGTGAGACCCACATCAATGGGGCTGTGCCAGAGGGGGCCCCTGCAGCAGGTGAAGCCCCCCAGGTGTTGGTGAAGCAGGAGCCGAAGGAAGAGGCGGCAGCAGCGGCACAGTGTGAGGTGGATGGAAACGAGACAGCAAAACCAGAGGCCAACGGGGACCCTGGGGACAGCCAAGCCAACAGCCTGCTGGCCCCGGGTGGGCGCTCCGAGGCTGGGCACCTGCTGCTGCAGAAGCTGCTGCGGGCCAAGAACGTGCAGCTCTCAGCTCAGAGCCCAGGCGAGCTCAATGGGCATATGGAGAACCGGAGCACTGGGACAGAGCCACGGCCACAGTCACTGCTGCTGAGCCGGGAGGTGAGCAGCCGGGGCTGGGCTGGGGGTGAGATGGGTGAGGGACTGTGCTGGCACAGCTCATGCCCCCTTTTTTCTCCTCAGGACCCCTCCATTGCCAGGAAGCCAGCACCCACCAAGCCTAAGCGGGTACAGAAAGGCAACGAGCGGATCCCAGCATCCCGCAAGAAGCTGCGGAAGGATGAGGGGCTGCGTCCTGGCGAGGCCCTCATGAGGCAGCTGAAGCAGGTATGGCTGCGGGCTGGGGTGTGGCAGGAGACTTCCTTTGCCCTTGTCCCCCCCTCACTGCTCTGTCCCCAGGAGCTGTCGCTGCTGCCGCTGACGGAGCCGACCATCATGGCCAACTTCAGCCTCTTTGCACCCTTTGGGAGCAGCCCCATCAACGGGAAGAGCCAGCTGCGGGGCGCCTTCGGCAGTGCTGTGCTCGACAGCGTCCCCGACTACTACTCCCAGCTGCTCACCAAGGTGAGAGGGGGGTTGTTCCCTGGTGTCCCCCTTATCTGGGGGTTCCAGACCATCCTGCTGTTCTCACCCCACCGTCTCCCCCCAGAACAACCTCAGCAACCCACCCACGCCACCCTCCTCGCTGCCCCCCACACCCCCTCCCTCCGTGCAGCAGAAGATGGTGAATGGTGTCACGGCCTCTGAAGAGCTGGGGGAGCAGCCCAAGGATGCCGACCCAGCCCGTGAGCCCCACGGCCAGAAAGGTGAGCCTGGCTGGCACAGGGGTGGCACAGAATCTGTGCTGCCACTTGTCACTCCCCACCATGACACCCGTCACTTCTCTGCAGATACACCAGCTGTGGAGGTGAAGAGCCTGGACCTGCTGGCAGCGCTGCCCACCCCTCCGCACAACCAGACCGAGGACGTCAGGTGAGACCCCCTTTGGGGAGACCCCCCGCAAGTGACATCAGCCCATCCATGGGTGACACCAGGCCCTGTGGCCCCTGACGCCTCCATCCCCACAGGATGGAGAGTGACGACGAGAGCGACTCCCCCGACAGCATCGTCCCTGCTTCATCCCCCGAGAGCGTCCTGGGCGAGGAGCTGCTCCGCTTCCCACTTCTCAGCGAGGCCAAGCCAGAGCTGGAGGAGCGTGTGCTGTCCCCCATCATCCCCATCATCCCCCGGGCCAGCATCCCAGGTGGGATGGGCTGGAGGGGTCTGTGGATCAGGGCAGGAGTGGTCTGTGGTCCATACGGATTGGGCAGCAGGGAGCTGTGGGATGTGCAGCAGAGGGAGTGGGTTTGGAGCATGTGTGTCAGGTAAGAAGGGATATGGATGGGGCAAGATGGAGTTCCTGGTCTAGGAGGTGATTAAGGGAGCCAGGGGAAGGGTCCTTGGGAAGTGTGGGATGTGAGGGAGAGGGATTTTCAGGGTGGTGGGTTCCCTGCAGGGATTTGGGGCAGCTGGGTGGGCTCATGAGTGGCTCTTGGTGGGGCTGGGTCTGCACGGTTCTGACCCTGGCTCTGCTCCCCATGGCTCTGACCCCCCTCTCCCCACACCAGTGTTCCCAGACACAAAACCCTATGAGGTCGCAGAGCCCTTTGGGGCTCCACCAGGGAAGGTGGGGGCAGCAGGCCCTGGAGCCCCATGGGAGAAGGGCAAGAGCAGCGAGGTCTCTGTCATGCTGACGGTGTCTGCAGCAGCTGCCAAGGTGAGCGAGGGGATTGGGAGATTCAAGACCCTTAGGATCCCAGCAGTGACCTAACACAGTGACACCTGTGGCACTCTGGAACCATCCTGCTTCCTTTTCACCTAGAACCTCAATGGGGTGATGGTGGCCATGGCTGAGCTGCTGAGCATGAAGATCCCCAGCTCCTACGAGGTGCTGTTCCCCGACGGCCCTGTGCGAGCAGCTGTGGTTGAGGCCAAGAAGGTGGAGACAGATATGGCTGGTGAGTGTTCACCTTGTCCCCATGTCCCCCATGTCCCCAGGCTGGGACTCCCGTGACGGGTGGTCCATCCTTCTCCCAGGAATGCTTGGAGGGAAGGAGAAGGCGCTGGCTGGGAAGGTGCCGGACAGCAGCTCGGAATGGCTGAAGCAGTTCGATGCGGTGCTGCCAGGGTACAGCCTCAAGGGCGAGCTGGACCTCCTGACACTGCTCAGACAGGTCAGTGGCATGCAGGGGTCCCCACGGGGCTGGGAGACTGGGAGGGGGGTTTTGGGGTACCTACAGGGCTGTGACTGTATGGGGGTACAGGAGCAGGGATTCTCTGGTAGAGGTGCATGGTGGTCCCTGTGGGTCACCCCGTGATTGCAGGGAGTTTCCTGGAGGGCCGGGTGGCCATGGGCTGGTGCTGGGTCTGCCAGGAAGGAGTCCAGGAGGTCCTTTTATGGTTGGGGTTACGTGGGATGCTGATGCCCCTGTGGGGCCAAGGACCCCTCCCTGCGATGTTCAGGGAGGTTGGGGGTCTCCATCCCTGCAACTCTGATCCATGCCCCTCTCCCCACACCACAGGAGAGCCCTGCTCCTGAGAAGACCCTTCACCACTGCTACGTCAACAACGTCTCCAACCTGGACGTGCGGCAGCTCTCTGTCCTTCCCCAGGAACCCTCGCCCCCGCTGTCCCCCTCCGTCCCCTCCCCATCCAGCCCCGCTGAGCCCACCAGGGTCCCCGACCCCGAGGCGTCCCACGAGGCCGCCCCAGCCCCATTGTCACCACTGCCACCGGCCCCCTCGCCAGCCCCCCAGGAGGAAGGGGCCGCAGCTGTCCACTCGCCACCCCGTTTCAAGCCACGCTCGCGGCCTCTGGAGGACGGGGATGAGGCGAGGCCACGGCTGAAGAAGTGGAAGGGCGTGCGCTGGAAACGGCTGCGCTTCCTCGTCACCATCCAGAAAGGAGGAGCCAAGCGCGACGGCGACAAGGAGATCGCCGAGTTCATCGACAAGCTGGGAACCACGCTGCGCCCCGAGAAGGTGCCGCAGGACATGCGCAAGTGCTGCTTCTGTCACGAGGAGGGCGACGGGGCCACGGACGGGCCGGCCCGCCTGCTAAACCTTGACCTCGACCTCTGGGTTCACCTGAACTGCGCCCTGTGGTCCACGGAGGTGTATGAGACTCAGGGAGGGGCCCTGATCAACGTGGAGGTGGCCCTGCACCGTGGGCTGCTCACCAAGTGCTCCCTGTGTCAGAAAACCGGTGCCACCAACAGCTGCAACCGCATCCGCTGCCCCAGCGTGTACCACTTCGCCTGCGCCATCCGCGCCAAGTGCATGTTCTTCAAGGACAAGACCATGCTGTGTCCCCTGCACAAGCTGAAGGGGCCCTGCGAGCAGGAGCTCAGCAGCTTCACCGTGTTCCGCCGCGTCTACATCGAGCGGGACGAGGTGAAGCAGATCGCCAGCATCATCCAGCGTGGAGAGCGGCTCCACATGTTCCGCGTGGGCGGGTTGGTCTTCCACGCCATCGGGCAGCTGCTGCCACACCAGATGGCCGATTTCCACAGCGTCACGGCCCTCTACCCCGTGGGCTACGAGGCCACGCGCATCTACTGGAGCCTGCGGACCAACAACCGCCGCTGCTGCTACCGCTGCACCATCTGCGAGAATAACGGGCGCCCCGAGTTCGTCGTGCAGGTCATCGAGCAGGGCCTGGAGGATCTTGTCTTCTCCGACTCCTCTCCACAGGGTAAGGAGTTGGGATATGCCAGCAACCTTTGTCCCGGTGGCTGAGCCACACCAGAGGATGGGGCGATGGAAGGTGGCTTGAGGTCCCCACTGAGTCCTCATCTTCAACCCATGGCACTCAGAGCTCTGCTCTGGTGACGAGGTGGTCACTTGGACTCTGATCTTGGAGGTCTTTTCCAGCCTAATTAATTCTGTGGTTCTCCCTTCCCTTGGCAGCTGTGTGGAACCGGATCATCGAGCCAGTGGCGATGATGAGGAAGGAGGCTGACATGCTGCGACTCTTCCCCGAGTACCTGAAGGGCGAGGAGCTCTTCGGCCTCACGGTGCACGCGGTGCTGCGCATCGCCGAGTCGGTACGTCCCGCGGTGTGCATGGAGGTCTCTCCTCCACACTGGGGGTCCACCCTGCTGGGGAAAGGCCCAGTGGTTCTTCTGCTGCTGCCTCTTGACCCCTGGTCCTTCCATGTCCCCCTCTGCAGCTGCCAGGCGTGGAGAGCTGCCAGAACTACCTGTTCCGCTACGGGCGCCATCCTCTGATGGAGCTGCCCTTGATGATCAATCCCACCGGCTGCGCCCGCTCCGAGCCCAAGATCCTCACCCACTACAAGCGGTAAGCGGGGCTGGAATTCACTGGGAGAGCTGGGACCCACCAGGAGAGCTGGGATCCCTGGGGATCTCTCGTCTCTAACTCTTCTCATCCCCCTCCCCTGAAAGGCCCCACACCCTGAACAGCACAAGCATGTCCAAGGCCTACCAGAGCACGTTCACGGGTGAAACCAACACGCCCTACAGCAAGCAGTTTGTGCACTCCAAGTCCTCCCAGTACCGGCGCCTGAAGACGGAGTGGAAGAACAACGTGTACCTGGCACGGTCCCGCATCCAGGGGCTGGGGCTCTACGCGGCCAAGGACATCGAGAAGCACACGATGGTCATCGAGTACATCGGCACCATCATCCGCAACGAGGTGGCCAACCGGCGGGAGAAGATCTATGAGGAGCAGGTGGGGCTCTGCTGAGATGCTGGGGGCTTGTGTGGGGACTTGGGTGGGACATTGTGGGCTCTGGTGGAACATGGAGGGACTTTGAGAAGGACATGGGAGGAGTCAGATGGGTTGTTGGGGGCTTGGGTGGGATGAGAGTGGACTTGGGTGGGACGTTGTGGGCTCTGGCAGGACATGGGGAGACTCAGGATGTGGAGGGACTTGAGAGGGATATCAAGGGTTCTGGTGGGACATGGAGGGTCTTAGGTGGGATGTTGGGAGCTCTGGTGGGACATGGAGTGACTCAGGTGGGACATGGAGGGACTCATATGGGATTTGAGGGTCTCCAGTGGGACTTGGGGTGGTGGAAGTCAACTCAGGTGGGATATGGGGACCTCAGTGCACCCCTGAACCCCCTCTTCTCCCCCGTGGCAGAACCGCGGCATTTACATGTTCCGCATCAACAACGAGCACGTCATTGACGCCACGCTGACGGGGGGCCCGGCCAGGTGAGCACGGGGGGCTTTGGGGTGCTGGGATACCCCCAGAGGGAGCCATGACGTCCGTCTGTCCTGCCCCTGGGTTGTGCTGACCCTGCTCGTCCCCCAGGTACATCAACCACTCGTGTGCCCCGAACTGCGTGGCCGAAGTCGTGACCTTCGACAAGGAGGACAAGATCATCATCATCTCCAGCCGGCGCATCCCCAAGGGGGAGGAGGTCAGTGAGGGACCGAGGGGGTGCTGAGGGGGTCCTGGGGGACCCAGGGAGGGGGGCTGGAGGTGGCAGGGCCGAGCTCTGTGCTTTGGGTGACTCCCCGCTCCCTCCCAGCTCACCTACGACTACCAGTTCGACTTCGAGGACGATCAGCACAAGATCCCCTGCCACTGTGGAGCTTGGAATTGCAGGAAGTGGATGAACTAACTGGGAAAAAGGGGCTGGGGGCTGCCACCCCCGCCTCAGAGACCTCGCCGAGCCCCCCAGGGCTGCAGGAGGTGCCGGGGGCGGCCGGGCACTGAGGGAGAGCAGCGGCTGCAGCGCTGCCGGCCCTGCCCGAGCGGGACGGACGGACAGATGAACTGGCAACTCAGGGTTTTCTTTGCTTCGTCCTGCGAGGAGAAAAAAGGAGTGGGGGGGCTCAGAAACGCCCCCTTCACCACCCCCTGCCTGCCTCCCTCGTGGGAGAGCCACGGGGGAGCAGCGCCGGGCCCAGCGCGGCCGGAGCGATTGTGCGGAGCCGGTCTGGATATAACGATTATTTTATTTTATTTTATTTTATTTTATTGGTTTCTTTTTTCTTTTTTTTTTAATTTTTTTCCTTTTTTTTTTTTCTTTTTTTTTTCTTTTTTTTTTTTTTTTTTTTTTTTTTTTTTTTTTTTTTTTTTTTTTAGAAACTAATAATATTTGCTCGCTAATTACCAAGGTAACACAGACTCCTTGAGCTCGACAATCCGGGCTCTGCCCCGCCCGGCGTGGCGGCGGCCAGAGCTCGCTCGGTTCCTTTTGATCTCTTTTTTGTTTGTGCGTGTGGACGAGACCCCGGAGCGGCGGCGGGATGCAGCCAAGACCCCGACAGACACAAGGAGCTTCTGCACCCAAACCTACCTCATTTTAAGTGTTAGATTTGTTTCTTTTTATTTGTTGTTGTTTTTAAATGTGAGCCCCCCTCCATCCCAACCTGCCCCCCACCCCCCCCCAAGGAGGGGGGGATCTTTCCCTCGGGCTCCAGAGGATGTGGCTTCCCCGTGTCCCCCTCCTCAGGTGTGGCCCTTCATCAGGACACCTCGAAGGGGGGACACGGGGACACCCCCTCCTTGTCCCCCGCCCCTCAGGAGGTCCCAGCCGTGTGACGTGCCAAGGTGTGCGGTGGGGATGGGGGAGGGCGACGGGGGGGGTCAAACCCACTCCCCCAGCTCTGGTGGGGGGCTGGAGGGGCTGGGTGGGGACCCCTCCTTGCCACACGTGGCCCCCACGGCTGGAGGGGCCGGGTGGAGCCCCCCCTGCTCGCCCTTGGCCCTCCCAGCTGGGGCTGCACTGGGGGGGGAAGGTTATTTATCTATTTATACCTTATATTGTATATACTAGACGGGGCTGG